GGAGCAGGAAAGTTGACATTTCGGATCGGGTTGGGATTTCTGAAGAAGGGTCCTGACCCGAAATGTAAACTTTCCCGCTCCTCTGATGCTGCCTGGCCTGCTGTGTTCCTCTAGCTCCACATCGTACATTTCTGCACATTCTGTTTTGGCAGAATCCTAAAGTAAAATCTTCCACAATCTGGCAGCCTAAAGTGAGCTGGTGGTATAGTGGAAGTGTGTAATAATCCAGATGCTCAAGTTAATGTTCTGAGGACAAAGGTTGAAATCCTGGCACAGCACTAGGTGGAATAAAAACCTGAAAGCTCTTTATCAGTAATGTTGATTATCAGACAATCGTGGAATTGTTGCAAAAGCCAATCTGGTTCATTAATTTTCTTTAGTGAAGGAAATGTGCCTCCCTAACCTGGTCTAGCCTACATGTGACTCCAGTCCCATGGCAACTCCTATGAAAGCTTAGCAATTAGGGCGGGGCAAAAAATGCTGGCCTTGCCTATGCTGCCCACATCCCATGAAAGAATAAAATAATTTTTTAACTACACTGCATGAAAAAAAGATCCTCAATATGCTTTATGAACTTCTGCTTTATTAACAAAGCTAAAAATAGACTTGCCCCAAAGAATAAGCATTTGTAACAAGAGTTTAGTTGTTGCATTGGTGTATATTAGTCAGTTTTTTTATATTGTTTTAACATTTAAGAGGTGCCTATTGCTTCCAATATAGTAAAAGGAGCTTAGCTTGAAGAGCAAGTAAGCAGTAACTCACTAGGCATGTTATTTTAGTTAGGGGATGTTGGCCAGTTTCGTGGGCATGGGCAGCTTTCAGCGGGATGATCTTATCTTAAACTCCATTTACGACCTTACTTGCAGTTAATAACTTCCTTTATTCTTTCATGGGTTGTGGGTGTCACTGGTGAGGGAAGCATTTGTTACCCATTCCTAATTGCCCCTGAACTGAATGGTTTACTGAGCTATCTCAGAGGATAGTCAAGAGTCAATCAAATGGAGTCACATGTAGGCCAGACCAGGTAAAGGTGGCAGATTTCCTTACCCCGAAGTACATTAGCAGACAAGATTTATTTTGCAAACCACCCCCCACACCCCCACCCAACAACAACCGATGATATTTATCATGGTCACGAATGGCTTAACCTTTTTATTTCAGCTTTGTTTATTGAATTTAAAATTCCACTGAACATCATTGAAATTGTGGCATCACAGCATTAACCTGGGTCTTTGGATTATTCATGCAGTAATGTTGCCACTACACTACCATCGCCTTGTCTCTTACCATTCATACTAATTTGGCAAACAAATTTCAGGCAGTTATCTTGAAAGAAAATTAGTGTGTTACATCCTGATAATCATCTCTGTTATACAGTAGCAAAAAATGCAACACGCATGAAGTAATAGCCACAGTATTTCACTCGGGCATTGCATGTTATTCATAGAAACAGTGACTTCATTATGAAACGTTTGGAATGATTATTAAAATTGACTAAGTGGCATCCTCTAAAATTGATGCCGTGCATCTATTTTTACGTGTAAACACTGGTACTTTTTAAGGTTCCTTATTCTAAAGAAGCAACAAGCCAGAAGTTGGGCTGATCCTTACTCTAAAAATGTTCTGCAATCAGTGGTAAGGCAAAGCAACATTGGGGTCAGATTTGCATATGCTTCTTACAGTCAGTTAATCAAAATGTAATACTCTGGGAGAAAACATTGAAGACATACAATTCGGGTTTAGTTGTCCCAGGAAAGAAAACCAGATTTTCTCTCTGGCTGATTTCAGCAATTGACTATTTATCTTTGAAAGAGGAGAGTTTGTTAATGCTTTGCCCACAATGATTTTATATGATTTTCCTCCATTACACGACACTAACAGCCAAGAGGGGAAAACTATTCTGCTGTTCCTGGAATGGCATCTGTCAGCGCTGAACAGGCAAATTATTGTGTACATGATAACATCACACTTCTTCAAAAATGTAAAAACACAATCTACTGATTCAACATCGCTTTATTCGTTAACTCTGCAATTCAATTTGGTTCACTTTCTAAAATCATGTTTTTTTATAGGTGTTGAGAATCTATTAATCATGTAGAGTCATAGTCATAGAGTCTTACAGCATGGAAACAGACCCTGCAGTCCAACCAATCTATGCCGACAACCATCATCCTAAATTAAGCTAGTCCCACCTGCCTGCACTTGGCCCATATCCCTCCAACATTTCTTAATCTTGTACTTAGCCCAATGTCTTTCAAATGCTGTAAGTTTACCTGCATCCACCACTTCCTCTGGAAGTTCATTCCACACACAAACCACTCTCTGTGTAAAAATGTTGCCCCTCATGTCTTTTTGAAATCTTTCTCACGTTAAAAATATGCCCCCTTGATTTGAAATTCCGCATCCTAGGGAAAAGACACCTATCGTTAACGCTATCTATACACCTCATTATTTTATAAATCTCTGTAAGGTCATCTCTAAACCTACTATGCTCCGGTGAAAAAAGTACCAGCCTATCCAGCCTCTCCTTATAATTCAAACCGTCTATTCCCGGCAACATCCTGGTAAATCTTTTCTAAACCCGCTAGGTGGGACTAGTTTCATTTGGAATTATAGTCAGCGTGGACTGGTTGGAGCGAAGGGTCTGTTTCCATGCTGTACGACTCAATGTCTCTAATACAATTATTAAAGTGAAGATTGCTAGTACCCTATTGGAAAGGAACTACTAAATTGAAAGGTCTAGGTGTAATGATGCTGCATTTTAAGGCTTAATATTAAAGACACATTTAGATTATAGATATTTTCTGTTCAATGTTGTTATTACACATCTCTGGAGCAGATGGAACTTGAACCCAGCCCTCCTGGCTCAGAAGTAGGGACACTACCACTGCACCACACAAACGCCTGCATTCAGATTACAGATTTGGTTCAGGTGTTAAATCTATTTGGCTTCCTCAGCAACATGAAAAAGTGTTAGAGTCCAATTTGGGTGCTAAAGTGTGAACTCACTCTGAAGTGGGCATTGAATCCATTTATGACCAAGTCCAGCAGGCTATATGACAGAGTTTGTATATCATCAGGAACTGCTGAATCCTGCTGGCAAGCTTGAAAATCCACAAATATTCCACCGTCAATCAATTTGCAGCTTTCCTGAGCCCAATAATATTATGTACCCTGGGTATTTTTATTTCACTCTCGCCCCATCGCCAGTTCTTCAACAAATACCAATTGTATCAGGTGAGACATAAAAAAAATCTCATAACTTGGGTGATGACAACACGGTGTGGAGCTGGAGAAACAGAGCAGGTCACGCAGCATCAGAGGAGCAGGAAAGCTGACATTTTGAGTCAGGACCCTTCTTCAGAACCCGACCCGAAACGTCAGCTTTCCTGCTCCTCTGAAGCTGCCTGGCCTGCTGTTTTCCTCCAGCTCCACACTGTGTTATCTCTGACTGCAGCATCGGCAGTTCTTACTATCTCTCTTGGGTGGTGCCAAGTCATTTTTGTTTGGGTCTCGCATACCATGCTGCGGCAGAAACTGCTGCTAGATAAGCAGATTAAACAAGCAGTAAATGGAAGCATCTATGTTCAATTTCCTGAGAATTACATAACGTTCTTCATTTCTTCTTTCTTGAAACTGCAGATTTGTTTCCTCTGTGCAAGCTTTCATGGCGGCATTTGCTGGCTTCATCATAACTTCCTCCTGCAAGCATGTGATGAAAGACAGGTAAGAAGCTCTTTGTTAACAGTCTTGAGAGTTCAAATGTCAGACATGCTCACTCCCACCACAGAAAGATGGTCAATAACATCGAAAATACAGCACAGAAACAAGCCCAACTGGTCTCTTCTGACATGTTCATGCTCCTGAAGCTCCTCTCTCATCTTGTCACATCTAACTGTGTTAGTGTAATCCTTCATGTCCTTCTTCCTCACATTGTTATCTAACTTCCCTTTTCAAAGTATATATACTCCCTGTGGTAATGAGTTCCACATTCTCTGGGTGAAGGTGTTTCTTCTGAATTCTCAATTTGATTTATTTGTGACCAGCAAATATTCAGGGTCTCCACAGTCTCACCCTTCTCCACAATAGAAACACACTCTGTCCATTCTATTAAAATCTTCCATAAAGACCTCTATTGGATGGAATGAATGAATGATTTATTGTCACATGTATCTTGAAAATACAGTGAAAAGTGTTTTGTCACCGCAATCTGGCACTATGTTGAGTTACAAAAAGGATAAAAAGAAATTGCTTAACTAAGAGCTCATCTTCTGTTCAAGTTGGGGCCTCAAGCATGGCTTCAGCATTTCTGCAAGGCCTCTGCAAGGTGTTCTGGTCCTCAAGGAGTCCCATCTGGGAACAGCAATGATGACACTAATGCACATGGAGGCCCCGGCTCTGCTGCCACTGCCACCTCGCCGACACCGCCAAGAGTCCCTGCTCTGGGCCTACCGCCGCCAGGCATCCCTGCTCCGAGCCTACCACGGCTGCCAACAGTCCCCACTCCACACCTACCACTGCCGCCGGAGGTCCAGGCTCCAGGCTTACCACCACCAGGAGACCAGGCTGCAGGCCTACTGCCATCGTGGAGGGTCCTCACTCTGGGTCAACTGCTGCCAGAAGACCAGGCTCTGGGCCTACCGCTGCCAGGAATCCCTGCTCCTGGCCTACCGCCACTATGAATCCCTGCTCCTGGCCCACCACTGCCAGGAATCCCTGCTCCTGGCCCACCACTGCCAGGAATCCCTGCTCCAGGCCTACCGCCACCAGGAATCCCTGCTCCTGGCCTACCGCGGCCGCCAAGAGTCCCCACTTTGGGCCTACTACCACCAGGAGTCCAGGCTGCGGGTCGACCACCAGCCCTGCCATCAGGAGTCCCCGTCCATGCCACTGACACTGCAGCCACTGCCCCACTGACACCAGTCCAGCCTCGAAGATGAAGAAGAAAAGAAAAAGGACAGAAAGTACATAGAGAAAAAGATGCCTATAGCCTGGAGTGGATGGGCTCCAACGAGCCCAGACACTATCTACCGTTCTGGCACCATCTTGAAATTAAGGTTTTACTAAGAGATTATTAAATTAAAGACTACTAAGGTAGTGAAAATCGGACATCAATCTTGGAGAGCATGGATTCCGATCCTTCTCCTTTGGGAGTTTATACCTCTGCTTTCTGAACGGATTATCTCTCAGGCACATTCCACAGAATACTTATCACCATGAGGCCTGGAATTTATGAACAAAACCAGGACAGTGACTGCAGACAAATCAAGTAGATGGTATTGAAATGCTGGTTCCCACACATGCACACACTGCCGATCAGACCAAGATAATGTTCTGGGGACAAAAACAAAGTTGCTGGAAAAGCTTAGCAGGTCTGGCAACATCTGTGAAGGAAAAAACAGAGTTAACGTTTCGGGTCCAGTGACCCTTCCTCAGAACTAGTGGTGGCTGGGAAAAATGTCAGTTTATATGCCAGTTTATACGTCAGTTAATGATCTGGGGACCTGGTTTGAATCCCACCATGGCAGATGGTGGAATCTGAATTCAACTAAAATTTGGAATTAAGAGTCCAATGATGACTGTGAAACTGGTGTCAATTGTTAGTTTATAAACAAACCCATCTGGTTCACTAATGTCCTTTAGGGAAGGAAACTGCTGCCCTTGCTTGGTCTGGCCTACATGTGACTCCAGACCCACAGCAATGTGGTTGACTCTAAACTGCCCTCTGGGCAAACAGAGATGGACAATAAATGCTGGCCAGGCCAGTGATGTCCACATCCCATGAATGAATAAATAAAACTATTGTCACTTATCAAAACCTAAGGCCGATTACATTCTCCACACATGGGATGACCAACGCAGCATAACTCAGGGAATGAGACTGGAATCTTTGCCTTAAGTGTAACTCATAATCTATGGCATAGCCATTGTCCAAGAGTTTACATACTAAATCAATCTCTGATCAGCATTGTGTTCCCATAAATACATATTCATATCTTCCCCATAACTGAATACAAAACTCACTCTGTATTATAAACACCGATATGGTAAAACAACTGTCATGACGCACCTTTTCTGCCCTCAGGCTAATGCAGTTCCTCAAGTGTTACATCAACAAATCCAACTGACTTAAGTAAGATCTTTATCCCCGTACCTGCTTTAGCAAGAAGCAATTGAAAGCTGCCACCCACACAACAGGATGACTCAGGATATTGCGGACAAAATAGTCTAAGTAGACATTCTCACTCACAGAAGTCATATGGAATCCTGAGCTTTATAAATATAGGCATAGATTACAAAAGCAGGGAGGTTACGGTGAACATTTAGAAAACAGTAGTTTGGCCTCAACTGGAGTGTGGTCTCCAATTCTTGGCACCGCATTTTAAGAAGGATGTCAACACCTCAGAGAAGGTGCAGGTAAGATTGATCAGTATGATTTCAGGGATGGGTTTTATATTTCAGTTTTGTAGTTAGATTAGTAAGGCTGAATTTGTTTTCTTCAGAGAAGACAAGATTGAGAGGAGATTTGATAAATGTCTGTAAAATCATCAGTCTAGACAGAGCAGAGAGAAACTGCTGCCATTTGCAGAAAAGTTGGGAATGAGGTGGCACGGTTTCTTTTTACAACAATTGACAGAAGAAGCGACACAAACAGGGAAAAACTTTTTGAACACAGTGGGACAGGCTAGACATGAAGGATCAAGAATTCACTGCCTTCGCATGTGGAGGAGACAGATTTAGTAGTGCTCTCTTCAAAATGGTATTGCGTAGGCAGCTGAAGAGAAAACTCTTTTCAGGCTTTGGGATAAAAGTGAGGGATCAGGAGGAGCTGAGGTGCTTTTTCAGATTGCTGATGTGGTTGGAATAGGCTGAATTGGGCTTGATAGGTGTACACCAGGTAAACAGTTTTAGAATTGGAAACATACCATCTTGTGTGGTAATTAATTACTTCAATTGAGACTCTTTAATTCTACACGCAGCTTGTTTATTTGCTGTTTGTTACAGGCATTGGATTTCCACAGACTACGTGGTGTTTGCCGTACCATACATGGCTTATGACATTTATGCCATGTACCTGTGTCACTGGTTCAAGCACAAGGCAAAACACAGCAACGGGTTGAAGACTTCATCAACCAACATTGTGATAGACTTTCTGAAGAAAAATTTCTTGATTGTGCTACATCATCTCACGCTGTTACTCGTCTGCTTCCCCATTGTTGTGGTGAGATTTCATCATTCCACTCCATTGTAAACAGAGAGTCTTGTCGGTCATATTTCCTGTGTCACACTGCAGAATGGTACAAGTGTGAAAGGGCATGACGTATGTTTTTCTACATTCTGGGCCAAGAATCAGAAATTTATAAGCATACTCCAAACTGCAAATTTTGCACCCCCAAACACCCTATAGCCCAATCAACAGCACCTTCCAAACCAGTGACCTCTACCAACTAGAAGGACAAGGGCAGCACATCAATGGGAAATCCACTACCTACAAGTTTGCCTCCTAGTCACTGGCTATAATCCTGAAAAAGACCCCTTTATTCCCATTCTCTGCCTTCTGCCAGTCAGCCAATCCATGCCAGTACCTTGTCCCTAACATAGTTTTTTCTGACCTTTTTAGCAGCCTCCTTTGTAGCACCTTGTCAGTGGCCTTCTGGAAATCCAAATAGATCATGTCCACTGGCTCTCCTTTGTTTAATTTGCTCATTACCTCCCTAAAGAATTCTAACAGATTTGTTAGGCACGACCTCCCCTTGATGAAACTGTGCTGACTTAGCCCTGTTTTATCATGTATTACCAGGTACTCCACAATCTCATTCTTAACGATAGTCTCTCTTCTTGTGTTTCCTTTTGTTTGTTTGGGACATTTTCTCGAATACCACAGACAAGCTACTTATTGTGTGTAAAAATTAGGGGGTGCGTTCCTCAGATTTGCTCAGATATCAAGACACTAAACAAAACAATAATTTTCACTGTAACTCAGAACAAGTGACAACAAGTAATCAAACTTGAACTCAAAACCAGGAATTGCTGGAAAAACTCAGCAGGTCTGGCAGCAGCTGTGCAGAGAAAGCAGAGTTAACATTTTGGGTCAAATGACCCTATCATCAGAACTTGACACTAGCTAGAAAAAGGTTGGTATATGTGCTGAAGATAGGGTGGGGGACAGGAAAGGACTAAACGTTAGGATAGCAAGGTGCGGAGCTAGAGGAACACAGCAGGCCAGGCAGCATCAGAGGAGCAGGAAAGCTGACGTTTTGGATCTGGCTTTCCTGCTCCTCTGATGCTGCCTGGCC